TCATTAGAATGAATGATATGATATTTGCTTTTAATAAAGATAAAGTCCAAGTTGCCTTTGCAATATTCACTTTTCTTAAACCTCACAGGAGTTTGAACTTTTTTAGAATGATATGAGATCAATATTGAAATTTTTGTTTCATTTGACTTACGTAAGTGAAATTGTATCAATAAATGTGTTTCTGAATCTCCTGTTAGTTTAGACTTTAGAACATAGTAATATACTGTAGATCATATTTATTCCTGAAAAAAGAGCTTTCACTCGAGCCTACTGATTATACTGTAGGATTAAATTTTTTGTTAAATTATTGTTCGTTTGATTACAACTTAAAATCATTTTCCATTCCAGGAAAGCGATTATAATTTTGATGACATAATTGTTAGGTCTAAGTCAAAATAAAGCTAGACGAGGGGCTTTAATTCCACGGGACTAGACACTCAAAGAAATGAGTGACGCTTTGTCTTGAGAGCAATGCATTTTGTGCTTTGTGTTGGTAATCCTGCCTCACTTTTTTTGGCACGACGAAGAGGCGTATCTCTGCTGCGTGTAGATAGTGTGTCTTTATTTGGATATGACGTATTAAGTTTCGTGAGTGTTGAACAGCATCCCTCGCATTCCCAACGTTCCTACTGTGGGTTCAGAAATCTGATAGCATCTAAAGCTCAATTTGACCTTTAACTCGAAGCCTTTATATTAAACGCACGATACGCCTTTTATCAACAGATTCTTCCCGCCAATTAGCCTAGCGTCGAAACCAACTACTTCGAAATGACTCAGTCTGGTTCGAAAGTTTTTATTGGTCTTTAAGATAATAACTGGTGTAGGATTGCCACGTCGCTTTGGAAAATCGTGATCTTTAAAAAGTCCAGAGATTCCTATGGAGAAATTGCGTGTAGCGCGAGAAGACTGCATTGCTTGACCTCTTCCTAATATCTCTTTAGGTTAAGAAATCTAGTAATAATTTCGAAAACTTTCAATCGCATTTGTGCCGATGCAAGCCTGTGAATATGTGCATTTTATTTACTTAATTGCAAGAATAAATAAGCCCTCATGTAGTTAGGAGCATTAATAATTAATAATTAATAATTTCAATCAAAATCAAAGATTCGTGCAAGCTGCTTTCATGAAGAGCAGGAGACGGAAAAACATCGGCGCTTATCAATTTTTTCAAATATGAATGACTGTACTTCAGTGAAATTTGACTGAATAAGAACTAAAAAGTAATTAATACTTTTCAAATTTTGATAGTATCGAATTCCAATAACGTGGTGAAAGAAAATAATTTCATGGCGTCTACGTAAGATTTTATAAGAAATCTCAGGGATAAAAATTTAAGACTGACCTCTCGTACTGTGATCGATGTTGCAGTAAACAAGAACTTTTGGAAGACATTTTGCCACGAGTCTTGTAAATTTTTATAGCACTCTCTTCTCACCGTTTAAAATTCATGAGCACCTGGCCCAACGCGGAAGTGAACAACAGATTCATTTGAGGATGCCGTCGGTCAAAAAAAAAAATTCTGAAGCCGTACCACGAGGTTCAGTCCGGCATGCATGTTGTTCATTGCTGGGGGTTTACGAGTAAACCGTGACGAAAAATAGCATAAAAAATAATAAGCTTTGCTTTTTGTGATGTGCTGAAACTAATAACATCGCATGCAACACCACGAAAAGACACAAAGATTTTGTAGCCATGATGCACGTGAGATTTTCTTCCGGTCCGTACACAGCTGGGGTCAACAGACATTCCCCAGATGGTTTACGTGTGACCTGTTCAGTGCCGACCTGTACTGCACCAACTTGTTTCTAGTCGACCTGTTCTATCCATGACCCAGACGCATTCCTGAAACGGCAACCATCAATTACGGCCTGTCTGTTGCCGAGATGTGACGGTTCCCCGAAAAGTGTAGCGTCATTCCTCCTCCTCCTGTGGCATGCAAGTCAATCTAGGATAAGAATCTCTTGCTTCAGTCGTGATGAAAGAAAACAATTTTTTATCTATGCATGTAGCGGTCAATACATTAATATTTGAAAGCTTTGCGCGGTAATATTAGTTATGAAAATCTATAAAACTTGAGAATAACTCATTCTGACGATCAGAATGTGAACTTCAGATCTATTTCAATTTTCCCCAAAATGAGTTCGCTCTCTCATTGTGATGAATATAAATTCCGGAAAGTACATATATTAAGTTATTTATTTTACCAATTTTCCAGTCATTTAAAATTAAACAAATTCGCATGATGACAACAACAAATTTAATAAGGGCACAATTTTCTATCGGCACGGTAAGAATATTTTTGCTATTAGAATGCACAAAATTTGTCACAATCGTTGAGTACCCATCCAATAGACTTGAAGGGTGGCACCCTTTAACGTTCCAATAGAGTTTACCTTTCAAATTGTCCGAAAATTCCCTACATACCCAGAATTTCTTATCCTCTCAAAAATTCCATGTTGCGCCTCGTCCAAATTTCCCGTTTGAGCCCTACGCAGACGGTCATTTTTTCTTGACCCAGAGGCTGAGTAGACCGGAAGACTCGAAAACTTGGCCTGGTTGCCCATATCGTCCCGCTGCCCCGGGCATGCGGCAGCGCCCACTTTCCTGTGCCTGTAACGGCACTCGGTGAGAGCGGCCAGCCGGCGAGCGGGCATCCAGCGCGTGATGCAAACTTTGATGGTTTTTGCCTGCAATAAAATTTAATTTTTATCCATCCTTGTGGTGTGGTGGGAATGAACTTTATGGATTTTGGTTGAAATGTATGGGAGATACAAACTTTGCTGGTTTTTATTTGGTTTTTGCCTGGAATAAAACTTAATTTTGATGCATCCTGAGGTGTGTGGTGGGAATGAACTTTATGGATTTTGGTCGAAATGCATAGGAGATGCAAACTTTGGCGCTTTTCAGCTGCAATCAAACGTTCTTTGAATGGTCCTTTAGTGTGATTGCAATTGTCCTTGAATTTTGTAATCGAAATAAATTATAGGTGATGCAAACTTAGGTGGAATTTTCTTTTAGAATTTTCTTACGTGAAATCACAGATGTAATTAGATTTTCTTTCGATCTGAACCTTTGGGTGGTCATAACTTAATTAACTAAACGTTGCTCGTTAAGACCAGCGATTATTATAAAAAAATATAATTTGAACCAGAAGAGGAACTGATAACTGAATGCAAACCGAAAATAAAATTGGTGTTCTGTTAGATCAGTTTCAGACGAATTCTCGCTACATAGTTACACGTTACAGTAGTAGTTCGCATGATTAAACCAAACGATATCCGAGAGTAGCTCATGCAATGTTTCAAAATTTCTCGTATTTTTCATCAACAATACTTAATTTTTTACGTGTGTTAGATACATTTTTGAAGCATTGTATATGGCAACATGAATCGATAAACGAGTTTCTTGAACCCCCTACGTATTTCTTTAATGAACAATTAACCCAAGCTCTTTTGCTCGCCGGGATAATATATCAAGTTGCGATAAAATACCCAATAATGAAGCACTAAACACAAGGATTATCGACGAGAAAGTAGGCCGCAAGCGGGCCAGCAATTATGGGTAGCAAGCGAAGAGTTTTCTGCGGCAGGCGGTTGATCTTGTGGCAGTGGATCTCACTTCGTCTATATTCTGATTTTCACTACTGATGGCACGTGTATTCAATACAGTTTTAGCGCATTTTCTCATTTATGGAAAAAATGCACTATTGTGCTCACCATGTCCGTCTGTCTGTCTGTATGTCCGTCTGTCCGTCTGTGACCTCAAGTTTTCGTCGACGAGAAAATGCGCTCTCTGTCACTCACTGCAGTAGGTACTGAGTTATATTTTTTGAACTGATGATGGAGCTGGGCTCCGAAATGTTCTCAATGAAAATATGCTAAATTTCCTTGGCGTTTTGTTTGCTTTTAAATTTTTCGACTTCGTTTGATTTTGTCCTGTGGTTTTCGTGTTTTTTTAGTCTACAATCCGCTTTATCTTGTGTACAGATGGGAGTAATTCAATCATTACCTTCAGTTTTGGATAAACTTCTTTATTACGCCAAAAGAACAATCATTTGGTCATTAAAAAATCATATCTTCAATTAAAGCAGAAAAAATTATGCGATTTCGTTCGCAAACTTTATGCGTAAAACTGATTATTTAAGATTCCCAACATCATTCAACCAAGCAAACTTTCCAAGAAACTTGCTCAGCTCTCACATGACGAACTTTTTGTTACGAAGTAAACGGATGAACATAGATTTCTGACCTACGCCACAGTATAAGCAATTCTCAGAGCATCAACTCATTCACTTCATTCTAAATATATATATACTCACCTTGCAAGAAGTAACTGTTCTTGGCTTTCTCAACTTATTGTTGTTAGTTTGTCATCCGTTAATCTATATTCTTTCATAAAAATCACCCATTAACCTACAATCGAGAACACCTGAGTCACTCCCCACAATTGAGCTCAAAAGGTATGTTCCAATGGATTCTTGTTCTGTGCTTTCTGAATTGTTTTGCATTGTATGACAGCGCTCGCAGCGGCGGCGGCCGACTTGAATACTATGTACTTGATAACTGCGACCGGCTATCGAAAAAAACTCATCGGTGCGTTCAGTTTCCAAATTATTTTTTTTTTTAATTTAGCGCATCTACAAGATTGGAAATACAATACACCTTGGGTTTTTAGACGGTTTCTTGACCTGGTAAATTTGTTATTTATTTTGTCGCAGTTATCCATAAAGTTCGTTCCGTTCACGATTAACGAGAACATATTTAAACTACGTTATTACACGTTTTAAAATAGAATTTATTGACCATGGATTCTGAATCTTTCATTCCATTTCATTTGATTTAACACATTATCCGAACTCAACGCAATTTTTTTACATGTTAACAGTTTTTTAACAGAAATTTACTTCTGTTGCTATTTAATTCCAGCGTTATTTTATTCGCTTTTATTAACTAAGTTGATTCAAATATACTTCTTGTAACCTCCTTGATTTCCTTTCACAGAGTCACTGTCCAAGTCCCAGTTCCCAGTCTTCACGCTCTACGCTCAGAAGATTTGTCTGCCCAAATCCCGGCCACCATGCAAGTCCCCATGGGCCTACGAGACCGTCCCGGAGTTCACCATCGAGAAGAGTATGGTGACCGAGACCGTCCCGGCCCCGAGCAGGAGTGAATGCGCTACGCTGTGCCTGCTGCACGAAAGGTTCACTTGCAGGTAAAAAAACAATTTTGTTTGCTTTCTTGAACCCTTCACAGACTTTTCATATTTTAGAGGAGTGGCGAATTCATTGAAGTTTATGATGAAATAAGAATAAAAATTAATTTTTTATTAAGATTGTCATGACTTTAGTTATACTTGGTTTTTGGAGTTCCTTATTTAGATGTTATCGGGCAGGAAAAAAGAGAGAGCTGGTAATTTAAGCTAAATAAGGAATTTTAACCGACTAATAAATATCTAACAATTGATAAAGCTGTAGATAGACCGCTTACGTATCAAAACAGTTATCGTTGTTTGCTACATTATAATTTTTTCAAACTGTAACATATGTAAGGCTTAATAACAATAAAATATTTGCTGACGCTGGTGTAAGTCCTGTGACTGGATGCGCTGAACAGATAATAATGAGCACGCGAAATAATGTATTCAAATATTTCAACGTAGACACTGCAGTTTATAAAATAAATTTTTCAATCGTGCTAAGAATTGAAATTTTTTTAATTAAAAATTTTCAATCGTTCTTTTTTAATTGAAATGAAACAATGTAAAGACTAGTGTCATCATTGTTATTCAATGCATCATTTTCCAGCAAAGATATCACAGCCACAGGGTGCGTTGAACTTTGCAGTCAAATTGTTTCCATGGTTCCTTAAAGGCAGATTATTTTGCCCAACTGCGGACTTCAGCCAGATTGAATGGGCCATTCAAGCGCGTATTTAATTACGGTTTGCTTCATGCCAAACTCAGCTCTCACATGAGGCTCGCAAGAAGCGCTAAATGAGCCTGAGGCACGCATATGTTCATTATTTTAGTTATATCTATAAGCCTGAAAATCGGTAAATGTTGGTTTTTTCTTTCAGTTGTACGCATCCAAATATACGGAATATTGTCCAAGTTTTGTTTTTCTTACAAAGTAGAATGGTAGGCACGAATGCACCATGAATCTGGTACTTCCATGCACAAACTTTTGCTGGTTCTGGCCATCGTTCCAAGGTCTACACATATGCTTGTAAGGGATTCATATTCTTTTCAACAATTAACTTATATTGAGGCTTCGTTGCAATGTATGGCCTATAGTCACGTTTAATCACATTCATCTGTGGTTTGAATATTGGCCCGCCATTTCTACTCTTTAATATTATTAAAACAGTTCGTTTCTACTCATTAATTTTCTAAAATTATACATTTCTACTATTTACTATTAATAAAATTATTCATTTCTACTCTCTTTCTTCCAGGTCTGCCGCTTTCAACAGAGATTCCAAGACGTGCTCCTTGTCCCAAATAGACAGAAATATGGCCGGCCGGAAAAAGCTTGTGGCTATCGATGCAAAATACGATTACATTGAACTCTCATGCGGGCTGAAACCTGACCGAATGTGCGAGTTCCAGAGCATCAGGGAGAAGATCATGAAGACAGTCGATGCAGTCTACCTGGACACTGAATCTACTGAGGAGTGTCGGCAGAGGTAAGGAACTAAGTTCATATATTAATTAATTGTACATTTATTAATAATTTATCAAAATTTTATTGTAACTGAGCACGGTTTCTGAAAGTCGTCGCATAACATTTATGCGTTGGAGTACAAAGTATGGGATTCCCAGACAAATAATCCCAACTCAAATAATTACAGTTAAACAGTAAATTATAACTATACTAAAGTATACCAACTAAATACAGTATACGGTTAACCCTCCTTCGAACAACATCCTCTACCGTTACGTACTTAACAAAACCGCTGTAGGAGTAGCTCTATTGCTTGCCAATTGCATTCCTTCCACGTCAAATATCCCGGAGGTGTGGAAAAGGGCTTTAATGTACGCATCCCGCGGTATTTCCTGCGCACTGCGTTCACTGCGACAGGTCAAGTCTGCCCTACTTGCAAATAACGGACTTATACCCAGGTAAATATTACAGCCGGGCCGGAGCCGATCTTGGGCCGAGCCCAGCGCCGATCTTAGCCGTGTTTAAGCAGAACAGTGCCTGCCTTATAGGTCAGGAAAAATTATTTCGGTTAAAATTCATCTGAGTCAGGTACAATGACTGAAAGAAAAGAATGTGAATTATAAGTTATGGCCTGACCATATGGCCTGTCAAAAGCAGAAAAAACCGGCGTCTCGGGCCTCGAATTGCGTTGAATGATATATTGCAAGCAATTTCATGGGGTTTTGTCATGAAAGGGTTGATTTATTTAAATCTTCATAATGTAAAATGATATGGTGACTTTAATTGTAAAGTGAATCAAGACCTTTAAATATTTCAAGATCAAACGCATCATCGAAATCCATATGATATTTTAGCCCATAGCACTAATTTTAAACGGTCGTTTTGAAAATGTCAGGAGTATTATCGGAACGAACGTTTAGGTAACATATTATGTATGTAACCTTATTTGTAATCAACTTTCTCTCGTTTGAATTAAAATTCTAGGTTTGCAGCATGGTATTTTTGTCATCGTCAGGTCATGTTTTTTAATTCAATAACTGATCTTTACCAATTGCCAGGGATCGTGTTTTCAACCAATTGATATCAATTGACCTAAAGTCCTTCATTGAAACGCCCGACACGTTATATTAACTGTCATCAGAGTGTGGCATTCTATGAGCGACGAGGCGTCTCGTAGAGGTGCGACGTGCGAATTGTCTGTCGCTCCTCTAGATGACTTGCTATTTTTCAGCTCCTAATAAGACTAGACAACGCTTCGTGGCCTGCAAAAGAGCCTTCAATGTTCTGTCTTCAATAATTTAACGGAGAATCAGCATCGATTGTCCTCAAATCTTTTAGAGAAGACGGGGGTTGAGGAAAAATTCGAAGGTTTCAGCTTTCGCCCGAAATTTAGTGGCTTTAGAGTAGAATGAGACGAATGATCAATGAATGCTCATTAATGATCAAGATTGATCATTAATGAACGCTTCAGAGGCGGGCTAGTAACTCGTGATTATAAATTTTCATACGTCTCGAGAGAGGTTCGGTAGAGAACATTGTACAGGCATAATCGATAAAATATCCGGGCTGAAAAGTAATAATATGACTTATTATATATATTATTAGTGTTACTTTGCACACATAAGAATATTACTTTGAAGACATTACAAAGAGGTAATGCGTTTGTAACAAAAATAACGCTCACGTAATTAAAAAACGCTGTTACAAAACAATTATAACAGGTTGTTTAAAATTCCATATTATCTGAACTATTATCTTCGTCATATCAATAGTGAACATTTATTTATGATAAGAAAAATTTATAACTTACGAATAAAAGATATTGTCAACACACGCATAAAAAAAATCCGAAATAAATGTTTTCAGTGATACATCATCGAAGAATAAAAACCGTCCCTGAAAAACAATGAGCGTAGAATAAAGGTTTTCAGAGATGCATAATGGTTAAATAATTATCACGAAAACATAAAAACAGAATTGTTCATTATTCGACCTAAACTCATACGTAGCACATGTTTCGGTGTCCCAAACTTAAAGATCGCACCATCTGAGTTTGAAAACGGTTAATAATAATTTCGAATAACACTTATGAACTCATCGTCAGCTTATATATGAGAAACAATGAAGTTAAATGTTCCCATGTGAACCTCTAATGAATTTGCACCGTTAGCTTGCAATGGGCCCGAGATGCAGCGTGGAATACGGCTATACGGTCTCAAGATCAATAATGAATCCATTGTTCTTGCGTCATTGCAAGACGTCGTGAGAGGCTTAGGCGTCGGCCGGTGGAGTGAAGTCCGTTAGCGTCTTTACAAGTTTTCTTATCCCGTCTCGTCTAACGGACCAAATATCGGCTTTGGAATCTAAAATGGGATACGAAGCAATATGTATACCTGGAAGACAGGGCACGTTGAATACGTTTTGTTCCTCGCAATTTTCGTTAATAATGTCTTCGAGTTGTCGTTGGATTAAATTGTTGTATTCTTTATAGAATTTTTTTTTGTTAAACCGAATGCTGATGATTTGGAAACCGCGCACCTGATGGATGTTGATTTTTTTTGAAAATCTAACTTCCTTTTTTGTCATTACCGACAAAATTTTAGGTTCAATTTATCGAACGCTAAATTTAGGAGTCGATTGACCGACAACTATGACCAATTTGGGATGAAATAAAAACAAGACTTTGGTTGCCAAAAATAAAAGTTACATATAACCTGCACTAATGGGAAGTTATGTGAGCTCATATATACAATATGTTTAGACATTCCTTCGCACCCATTGTCACCGTGAAGGGTTTTCTTCCTGTTGCAATTGACACGTCATTATATCACTCTTTCCTTCCCTCCATGTTTGGCTCTCTCCCGCCGTGAACTCTGTACGCTGTGTTGGGACAGGTGCCTAACTTTACTGTCATTCTTAAGCCGTCTGACGGACACTAGGGACAGGTGCCTAACTTTACTGTCATTCTTAAGCCGTCTGACGGACACTAGGGACAGGTGCCTAACTTTACTGTCATTCTTAAGCCGTCTGACGGACACTAGGGACAGGTCAGGCAGGTCGACGAACTCGCGGAAATTCCTCCAATTTGGGTACGTTCCATCTTGCACATTTAACGAGCGCTACTCCAATATTGCTGTGTTGATAATAATCTCGAATTGTTGTATCCGTGATAAATACTGACATCTTTTTATATGTTTGTTACTTTCTATTCCATTCATTTTCTTACTTAATTTATATACGTACTTCATTTGCTTACTTCATTTACTTACTTCATTTACTTATTTCATTTACACACATTCATATACACGATTAATTTTCATAATGTAAAATTTTTACTAGAAACTGGCAAGTTGGCCCGGGAATTTTAAAAGCTATTTTTCATTGATTTGGTAGGAACCTTTGTCCTACTTTCATTCGCCTTCAATCTGGTAGAACTGTTCTAACGTTTCATTTAGGTGTTGAATTTTTTTCAACTATTTTGTTTGCTTTGACTTTCTTAGAGAATATTTTTGAGGCTTAATCACCTGCTACCAGGTTATTATTCACACCTCCGACTGCCAGGAAAACAGTTAGCTGGCAGAGTGCATACATGGTGACAAGTCACATTTTTGATGTATGTTGAGCTCTCATCAGAAGGCTGGCAATTACACACCTGGTCTTGGGGCTGTCTTATAGCCGCCTGGCGTCCTAGTAAAAACATCTGTATTTATAACTGTTTATTTATTAGTGACACATATCTTTAGCCTACATTACTATGATTGCCTTTTTAAAATTTAAAGTGACACATATCTTTAGCCTACATTACGATGATTGCCTTCCTTTAATATTAAAATACAATTTGATTAAAAGGTAAATAATTCCTGAGCAAATTCTGCGGTAATGATAATTAAACTTATTATTATTGAACCGGTTGCTGGATCGCACAGTAAGCTCTCGTTGCAAGGAGTCTAGGAAAAGTAAGAGCCTACATTTTCTAATACCAAGTAGTTTATTTGTTAGGAATTATTTCTGATAAATTGAGGCCAGTACATGTCCCGCAGCTGAAGATCCTACAGAGCAGGTTTTTTTAATCCCTTCAGTTCTAGGGCGTTCAGGTGAAAGCCTTAAAGCAGCATTAACTCGACTCAAATAAGGCTTGCCGCGGTATCAATTGTCCCTTCTCTCTAGATTTTAATTCATTTATTCTTGACACGAGTACATTTATTATTGAATACTTTTATTCTTAATCTTTGGGGAAACTCATGGGGATTACATATTGTTAAAACTCTAACGTAATACACTTAAGCTCAGTCGTGGATGAAGGATCCGCTCATTCAATAGCACACAGAGCTTTTGAATATAATTTTTACATCACTTACATATATACAATTAGATTTTCTTTACTCGGTAATATTTTTCAGCGGAATTAATAAGCAAACTGAACGAGCATTTTACTTAATGTAGAAGTAAAGATGTGTAGAATATGTTCACTTAATGTATAGAAGGCCTCAGCCAAGGCGTTGTTTTTAGCTCAGAAAGATCCTGCCGATTTTTTCATCCTCGATTTTTATTGACATCCTAGATTTCTACTTGCAATGCATCTTTTTCGAAGAAAAGACAGTAAGAACAGCAAAAAGTTGAAATTAAATCAACGTCTCCAACTCATTCTGCTCAACTTGAAAGCTGTCAAGTTTTTCAATTTAGAGAAATTCTCGGCCAGCATTCAAGTTTCTCTCGAATGACAACGGCGATGCCCGAGCGAAGGTTCTAAGACGTCAGTAGTAAAAACGCCCCAGAAACTTTATATGCATTACATTTAATTACAGATGCAATACATTTAATTACAGATGCAATACATTTAATTACAGATGCATTACATTTAGTTACAGATGCATTACATTTGATCGTCTTTTCGCGAGTTGCGACTAAGATTTTTGCAGTCCAGTTAGGCATGAACCACACTCAATACCTGACGTGGTATTATATGATGTGTAAAAAATTATTTACATTAAAGTATCTTCAACTTTTCACTGCAATTTTGTCGTTTTTTTATGCGACGGATAACTGCTTCGATGAATCTCATATAATCGCTAAATATATTGTAATCTCATATATTTGCGGTTTTTCATGTTAAACAGGTCTTCTGCTCTTGTCGACACGTGTGTTAGAGTTTTTAGTGGTTTGCTCTCGAATCAGCATTTTCCACCGTATCCAGTTATTCATTCTTTAGTATAAAAAGCGGATTTTCATTTTTGTGTTAATTATTCACCCCCATTTATACATCATGGCAGTTTTTAGCGTATACTGAATTAATATACAATTTAACTGTCTCATTTCCCAACGCTTACGTCAATCCTATCCGCATCTAATCACCCGAGATTTAAATTCCCCGTCAATGAAAAGGCTACTAACTTCTTTAATATAATTCATAAAAGTTGAAAACATTTCTTGCAGATGTTTGGACGCGGACTTCGGCTGCTACTCCTACGACTACAAGTCTGCAGGCGAGCCCATCTGTCGTCTCTCTCACCACTCGGCCGCCACTCTGGCACACATCCAGGAGCCCTACTTGCCCATCGGCAACGCCACCACGTACGAGCTTCAGGCCTGCTACCAGGTGATGATTATTTATATATTGTGTTATTATATTTATAATATTAATATACATATTATACCATTATATGTATAATATTATTATTCACACCTTCGCCTGCCTGGCGAACAGTTAGCTGGGAGAGTGCATGTGTGACAAATCATGCAATTTGTTACGATTAAATTTTATAAAGAAAATTTCTTTGAGTTAAGTATTAACAGCAAAGAAAAAAACTTTTCGCTTTCGAGGTTTTATACCATTAATAGTTCTTGAACTGTAGGAATCAATGCATTACTTAGTTATGTATTTTAAATCGTGCAAAGATCACAAAGTCTAGGCAACGCGATTTTTGTGTAAATAACGTTTCGTGAAATGGCATTATAATTAATATTTAAAATACATTCTCGAGCAAAGTCGTTACCGAATATCAATTATTCTTTGCAGGTTACGATTGAATGCAAGGCCAGTGAGATGGTGGCCAAGATCTCCACGTCGACAGTTTTCAACGGCAAAGTGTACTCCCGCAGCCGTCCCAACAGCTGCGTCGAGGACATCAAGAACAGCACCCAATTTACCATCTCGTTGCCCTACAACTCTGTGGACTGTGATGTCGAGCAGAAGGGGAACACAATGTTCACTTCCAACATCGTCATCCAGGTGAGACTTAAACTCCGTGCAGTGATTGCGATGTCGAAATCTTGGACAAACTAGACAAAAAATCTTGGACAAAATCAGACTGGAAACTTGCATACTGCAAACTTTTTTTCGGAAAATCTTTGTGCAAATATTTGAAAGATGACGAGAGTCGGTAATTGAACATTTCTTCCATCTAATTGATATTCGAAGAACTTTACCAGGCTGCAAATCCAATTATCCAATTTATTAATTAAACAATATTTACAGCATCACGACAAGATCGTGACTCGCGCCGACGTTGGACTCGCACTTCAATGCAAGTATGACCTGAAAAACATGACCGTAACGCATTCACTCCAGTCTGGCTTGGAGGTGAGGAATGATCCAGCGACTGAGTACATCCAAGAGGTTGTCGTTGCTTCACCCAACGTGACCATGAGAGTTACAACTCCACAGGGACAAGACGTTGGATCTGCGCAGGTCGGCGATAATTTAGCTTTGCGTTTTGAAATCCTCGACAAGAGCAGCCCGTATGAGATCTTCGTACGGGAACTCGTTGCCCTCGACGGTCGGGACAGCTCTGAGATCGTGCTTATTGATGAACATGGCTGCCCCACGGACCCCTCCATCATGCAAGCCATCATGCAGGTACGTTGTTCATATGTTTATTAATATCATAATATGATATTAATAAACATATCATAATATGTTCATTAATATCACAGAATATTGCTGCAAATTCACTATAATTGAATATATAATAATTATATAATTATAATTCGAGGCCTGTATACTTGAAAAAACTCGATGTTCACTCATTATCACTGTGATTAATTTGGCGAACGGTTTATTGAATACCTATTGTTCTTTACTTAATTTCTTTCTATTTTCACATGTAAAAATTTTTAAATCGCAAAAATTTAAGATGCTGTGTTTAGTACGAATACTTTTTATTGGCTTTCGACTCAGATGATTTTCATCAATAAGGTTCTCGATGGACGAAAGCCTATGTACATTCCCTCTTCACTTACTTTCCTATCTTGCATGTAGATAGAGGCAAATTTCTTAACTTTTTATAATTACTTATAATTTTAAATCTTATTTATATAATTTAATTCTATAATTTGATCATATAATTCTATAATTGTGTAAATTAATTATATGATTATATAAGTTAATTAAATGATCATATCGTAATTGCAACTTCCGGGGATCAGGTGGACTCAGGCAAGATTCTGCACGCCCCCTTCCAAGCGTTCAAGTTCCCAGCAACTGACGTGGTCCAATTCCGTGCCCTGGTGACGCCGTGCCACCCCACGTGTGAGCCCCAGCAGTGCTACGCTGACCGCTTCGACGGCGCTCTCATGACCGCTAAGAGCTTCGGCAGGAGGAAGAGGCGTGAGGTAAGAATAAAACAGTCCCTCCTACAATTATTCTCGTTGTTACACAATTATACCCCATAGGGTAAAAATGGGGGGTGATATAAAAAAGTGCCCCCTACAATTATTCTCATTGTTACACAATTATACCCCATAGGGTAGAAATGAGGTGCGAATAAAACAGTCCCTCCTACAATTATTCTCGTTGCTACCAAATTATAACCCATTGGTAAAAATGAAGGGTAAAATAAGAAAGTGCCTCCTTCAATTATTCTCATTTATACTACAATTGGGTAAAAAAATGCTTATTGTAGCATTTCTACCAAATTAAAATGCCACAATTAGCATTTTGATACTGGAACAAATATTGCTAACGGTGATCTGTATCTATAAATTGAAATGCTAAAGCCATCATATCATAAAAGTTTTCGTAGACGCAATTTAATTTCAGATTGGATAAAAAATGCAATACTTGACACATTTAACCCGATTTCTCCTTAATCATAACATAATATAACATTGGATTATAATTCGCTTAATCACAGTCTAAATTTCCCGTCTTGAAATTATGTTTTGATGTTCACTTTTCATAAATGTATTTCATCTTGCAGGTAAAAGAATCAGTTTACTGAATTTTAATACATGCTTTGATTTCATATAGGTAAAAGAAAACGACATCATGGTGGCACAGAGCATCCAAATCACCGACAAATTCCTCTTTAACGATAAAGATGAGAACGAAGTAGAGAAACTGCTCGCCAGCGCTGAGTGTTCGACTTCCTACACCGGCATCATCATCGCCTGCGCTCTCTTCTTACTTGCGCAGGTTTGTCCAGATTAAATTTTTGTAATGTAGTATTTAATAAAACCTAATAATAATATTCAATGTTCTCTGTTTGTCCTGATTGTATTTTTGTTAAATAGTATTTAATAAAACCTAATAATAATATTCAACATTCTCTGGTGCTATGGAAAATAATCCTACACGGAAAAATATAATTGGAATTATAATCCACAGTTCCAGATAAGTAAAAATATTGAGTTTGTTCAGATTGTATTTTTGTTAAATAGTATTTAATAAAACCTAATAATGATATTCAGTGTTCTCTGGTGCGGGGGAAAATAATCCTACACGGAAGTGCATAATTGAAATTGTAATCCACAGTTCCAGATAAGTAAAAATATTGAGTTTGTTCAGATTGTATTTTTGTTAAATAGTATTCAATAAAATCTAATAATAATAATCAATGTTCTCTGGTGCTGTGGAAAATAATCCCACACGGAAATATATAATTGGAACTATATTCCACAGTTCCAGAGAAACCAAAAATATTGAGATTGTCTAGCTTATCTTTTCCTAATATTTTCATTTCCGCAGGTGCTTTTGAATATAATTCTGATGAATAAATTGCTAATTTCGTTCCCTTAGATCACGATAAGAATTGATGCATATTGATTTCCTGAGAATTGTCTCAGTCATACGTATTTTAATTAATTGGTTTCAAATAGCTTGAAGGTAGTACGAAAACGTGGAACTAAAGATCTTTAGTTTAGCTCTGGGGTAGAGTATTAGCCATAGAATCTCGTAGGAGACTCGAAATTATATTTGTGACTCGGAAGTAATCACTTTCCTAACCCAATTTGTATCTTTTTGAGTGATTTTCAGCATTTCGCTCGATTCCGTTTGCATAACTTAACCGTAATTCGGATTAACTCGGATATTTGATAAAATAGTGCATGGAAGAGATTAATATTGATGAAAATGTTTTATTTACTCTTAGAAGTTTCGCACCATGTCAGATAATAATCGAACAATATTAATATTTTAGTACTTTAAATATTATAGTAAATTTCTTATTTTAGAAATAGCAATATTTTTGCGTAATATTGATATTTTAATAATTTTTTTATTTAGTTACAGCAATATTTTTGCGTAATATTAATATTTAAGTAATTTTATTATTTTAGTAGTAGCAATATTTTCGCATTCACGTGTTTTTTCCCCTCACAGCTGGTGATCCTGATGGTCTGGAGCTATCAGTGGCACAAGAAACGAGCCACGAAGGAGATCGCACCGCACTACCCTCCGGTGATGCACAGCTACCCTCGGGGCCGACACAGCGGAAACTCGTCTGTAACCTCCAGTACTGCTTACCTTAACCACTGATTTCCCTTCAACACCAGTTAATCAATGGTAACAATATACCGGCAATACCAATTTCATGCCCGGAAATTATGGTTCTAAAACTGGCCAGCTTATTATCAATTATTCGATTGATGGTTCTCCTGATTTTATTTGGTGCCGTTCAAAGTCCGGGTCAGTTCTTGACAAGCGTGTCTTGATGCAAGCATGAAATGTAGTTTAAGTCTGAGAACCATCAGTAAGAAGATAAAAATTATGATTTGAGCTTCAATGATAAGAATTCAAACAAAGTGAACAAGAACTTAGCAATTTCTGCAATCGCTGAAAATTCCGGTATGATTCTTTCAAATCTGAAAACTTTCACTATGGAATGTTAGTTTATGTAGGAGGTATATGTAAGTTGCTGAACGATTGAAGCGTATCCAGCGCCCTGAGGAGCTATTCGGTGATTTTTATTGATAAATTATATAGGCTGATTCTACAATGAAAAAGATCTAAAATAAGCAGCTCTCTCTTTCTTCTGATATGCGTGACCTAATGATTGTAATAGGAAATCGCTAATGGCATATGGAACTCTGCTTAATCACTGAACAAAAATAGTTGCTATGATGATGAAAAATTTTTGGCATTCAATATCCCATGACATTCAATAAATTTGTCCAATTTGTTTTTATGCAATTTGTCTCGAGAGGAGTTCTCAATTTGAACGATTTCATGTACTTACGTAAACGGTATCGCATTCGATTACCGACCAATTAAACAGTATGGCATAACGGGCATTTTCTTTACAACGAAACAATATATGTTAACGAACTTTTTGTATCTATTTTAATTATTTATTGCTTCCCATATGCTTCTTATGATTGATATTTACGTAGATAGCATATTTATTTGCCGGTAACAAAATGTAATGCTTTGAATTCGAGTGTCAACGAACGCTGCAGCGTTGGCATTACCGTCGATGTTGGATGGCATTCGTTCATTGGATGATCGACGTGGAGCATGAACAGCTATACTCATAAGGAGGCATTAACATTACTTTTATCTCTATTATTTAGTGCAATAACTGAGGAATTTTTCGTTTGTTCGGTAAAATGTGGATTGTGAAATTTTGGAAATTATTATACGAATGTTACCTAGAACTTTTTTCAATTCGTCATTGGCTTGCTTCATTTAGGATCGATTGAATAAATATCAGATTTTGCGTCAATTTTCATCATTCTTTTTCTGTTAACTTTAATGTTAAGTTGTCTTATAGTTTTCTTGAATCGTTGTTACAATGCAGCTGTGTCAGGCTACACAAATTCTTATTTTCCAATTTTTTCATAATTTTGTGAAGTAGAAAATTCGTTTCTACACGTGAATTCTGAGCCAAATTTAAAACTTTTGTTAATGGTAATGAAGTACTAGGAGAATATTTATTCAACTTAGATTAAAGGTCCACTGTTGAAGCCTTTGCACATCGAAAATTGTTCTGAACGAACAACTAATGACCAAGTAAGAATGATTTCTACGCTGCGTGGAGGTACCAAAATTTTGACTATTTTCATCTCTTAAAAGCTTACCACAAATATTTTGAGGTTATATCAACATCGATGCTGATACTGAATTTCGATGTTCTTGCCTCAAGATACGTGCCATTTCTGCTGCGTGGTCCCTTTAAGATGAAATATTTGTACCAAGATAAAGGCGACGACATTAAGAATTTTTGTAAGAATTTCTCGGAATAATAACTCCCCCAAAATGTCTTGTAAAACCAAGTTATAATTTTTTAATTACTATTGTCCTTCCTTATGTTCGTAAATTAAGCTCGCTTTATGATGTATTGAGCGACAAAGTTAAATTCAAATTAAACCTATACCATCCAGTTTGAAAAGTAAAGATTTATTGATGTTGATTACAAATTTTGCTTTGAGAGCCGAAGTTTTTTCTTGGTACAAGAATCGTATCGAGGGCTGCCGCTCGCGGCATTTCGCCTCTGTACTTTAATACGCTAATTTGAATTGAATTTATGATAATATCTTCCTTAAACTTTGGCAGACCTTAAACCTGGTCTAACATTCACGAACGCGTCCTGATATTTATTTTGGTATTCGATTTGCATCGCGTAACCATGCGTACACCATCAATGAAAAGCATATGCTTCTCTACAGCATTATTTGTCTCTGATTTAGCAGTAAGTTTACTTGAAATGTTATTGTTTCTGTGTAGTATTTAGTGTTAGAAGATGTCAAAATTCATGTTATTAACTTATTCTCCTGCATTATTTCTTGTTATGGAATAGTTAATAAAAATCTTTAAAAATGAATCTCATTTAATACCTTGTCATAAAAACCACTCAATTGTTGTTAATATTTTCGCATGCAACACACATGAACAACTGACGGATAAATAAATATGTGAATAAAGAACCGTACATACATGAGCAATTTGCATCTTTTTATTAGGCCTAATATAGTTATAGACGTAATCCAGTTAAAGACTTTGTCTATTTAAAAACAAAGTCCCGTAAAGAATTTGTCCATTAAATACCTATGATAGTTAAATAATAGGAAAATTAGATTATCTACGATAGAAAAATGCATGACCAAGCTACAATGGGGGGAATCCAGCACCGAAAAAACGGAATTGCTTGCCCTCAAAATGAAAACTCCGAAAATGAACATTTTTTTAAACCTTGATGATATTCAAGTTGCAAATATCCCTCCTTCATTAGTTAATGTTTTGAAAAAAAACATAATTCTTCTTATCTAACAATAATCTTCTGTCCCAATACTTGCAGTAAAAACATTCAATTAATGAAGCAAATCCATTATCAATTTCTTCACAAATTTTTTCAATTGAAAAAATAGCCGCTCTTGAAATTGAATCTTTGAAAGCCGCTCATTTCGTTTTCGAACTTTGCAAACCCAAACAAGTACATTTTGTTTGCGTAATATAATTGGAATACTGTGTTTAATCGTTGAAAAACTGCTCCTCTTCGGAAACATATGAAGATTAATTAATCAAATAATCTTTCACCTCTAAAGCACAATTTAATATAGGACTTTTTTAATTAATCGCCATTCCTCCTCATAGAATAACTAACGTTGAATATGATTGAATATAATAACGAATAACGTTGAATATGACCCTAACCAAATTCGGGAACCGCGTAGGCATCGGCCGAATAGTCACTACACTAAGGACAAAGTTATTCTGGGTTTGCTCAGCCACCCGATCGAAAACAGTCAGAATCTCCTATCCAACCTTATAGTCGCCTGAGAGTATGACAAGCGTTGGCCGAGCCGAGGCATACCGAGCTAGGAAGCTGCCCAGAGGCTGTCCTTCGAACCCTGAGCCGAAGCGTATATGGAGAAGCTGAAGAACGCTGAATTCAATTATCGCCCAAAATATCTCATGCGCAAAGTGTTACTGTGGTAGAATCTTAATGCAAACAAATCGATCAAATGTATTAGCTATCGGTATTGATTATTATTATTTATCCATCAACAAATACCATTAAAATAACAGTTATAACTACAGCGCCTATAAGAATACACGATCATTTAGATCGATATCATTTGATTTTCAGTCGGGAACTTGATATATTAATTTAAAGAGTCCATACACAATTACACTAATTACATGCTCAAAAAATGACATTTTATTATCGCTCATGGTAATATAATCTTGATGCCCAATATATAAAGAACTTTCTTATCTGACTTATCTACATTATATTGATGCCCAATATTAACGTACCATCTTAGCTGCCATATCTTTATTATCTTGAAGTCCAATAATAACGAACTTCATTATCATCCATATCTATATTATCTTGGTGTCCAATAATAACGAACTTCTTTGTCTTCCATATCCATATTATCTTGATGTCCAATAATAACGAACCATATTGTCTGATAAATCGATATTATCTTGCTCTCCTATAATAACAAACTAAATGAAACCCGCCCTAGTACACCGCAAGTGAAGCGCCACAATAAGCAGGCGCAAGGGTTTGCAACAACTGCCAGTCAGTGCTGCCTGATTTGGGCACTTTACTAGAAATATAAAAGCGAAGAAACTTCCACAAAAATGTCACAAAAACATTTTTTATGAAAACGTTTCCCATAAAGATATCATAATTTTTTTAAAATGTTCTTTGCTTTTAAATTTCTAGTGAATTTTCGATTCCTGCTAACGAGTGACATTAATGCTTGGGCATTTCATTATGATCCGGCACAGACACAGGTCTTTGCAAAACAAAGGGTCAAAAAGAATCAGGCTATGCACATCTGGCAAATATTCAAAGCCCTGGATTTTTGAAAAATGTATAGGTTATACAGTCAGAAGATTGTTATTACAATTATTTGTAAGGACGAGGAGTGAATCGTGGAAACTATGGCTGGGACGCGGCATGTAATCAGCAACAAGCAGGGATAATTAACTATGAATTACGCTTTTGTTGTTCTGACGCAAATAATTTGTGCTTCCTCTTAACATATTAAGAATTCCTGAACAAAATTCTGAAATTCAGATGATACGTCACTCAACGAAAGAAATTTACAATATACATGATTTTCGCTTTAGCTCGACGTTTTGATATTCTAATCTCTTGCGGCAAATCCCAAGCTGTCGTAGTGAAGTTTAAGAAGAAACACTGAGAATAAAAATTCAGTCAATTGATAAAGAAAATTTTCTAATAAACACCGCAATTTAATTCTAATATTATACTTTTAATGTTTCCAAGATGTTGACCTAATACGTGAGTAGCTAACATGCAGATCGCTTATCTTGTTCATACCGGGAAGTTCCAAATGAGCCTTAATTAATGCGATTACAATTTATATCACACTACAATAATTAGACAGTATGATTATCCGTACCCTACTTATATAAATTTTCTCTTGAAATTCAATTAGATATCCCTGATCTAGTACAAAGTATTACCGGTTTAGCAAAAGCTAAAGTACCGGTTTAGTAGAAGCTAAGTACCGGTTTAGTAGAAGCTAGACCGGTATGGCGCTGAGCGACGCCATGTTACTATCAAGCCAGGGGCGGTAGTAGGTGAGTCGCGTGAACACTGCGGGGAGGCCAACGTTCGTACAGAGCGGGAACCCGAAACTCACCACACCCACCTGGGTGCAGGAGTTGAAGTTGCATGCCACTAATGGTCCTCCCGAATCTCCCTGTGTACATAAGTAATTAATTAATTGAATTCCGTCAAACCAGGCATAGGAAGAAATTCGTTTTTTACACTATCGTTCCATAACATCTTCAAAATATACAACTCTACACTTTAGTTATGTGCCGTCACTGATCTCGAATTTTTCTTGTGATTTCTTGCAACTTAAGAATCGAGTGAAGGACTTTAGTCCTGGAACCGCATCGCTTGAAGGGTGCACATCATCTATGAAGAGGTTTACTAAGCAGATAACTAACTTATTTCAAAGTTCTCTATTTACGACTCAGCAAAATTCTAAATCTTCTTTGGTAAACAAAAAACGTCTTGGCAGGAATATTCATATAAGTGCCACACACATTCACGCATTTTTTGCAAGCAATAACTCATCTAATAGCAACCATGTGAATCCAACCATGTGAATCCAAGTAAATTGTTAATCCAAATGATTAACAATTTAAGTTAATAAGGCATACTCACATGGCAGGGTGTGCCCTTATCGATGCCCAAACAAATATGTTTGTCGGTGTAGGCCGTGACTTTCGCATTCTTCCACGCCTTGGCGCACTCCCCGGCATCTTGGATGGGCCCCGTGTACTCCTTCAGGTACGGTGACGTCTTCTTTGTCGTGAGGCTGTAGCGGCCCCAGCCCGTCACCGTGGCATTGACTTCGTGAAACTCGTCCTCTGAGGAAGGCCAGGAGGTTCTGACTAGTCGCTGATTGCGATCAGTTGGCCAACTGACCCAGAATAACTTTGCGCCGAGTGTAGTGACTATTCGGCCGAAGCCCACGTGGTCTCCGAATTTTGTCAGGGATATAAGAGTATTCAGGATTTTCGAGTGCCTCTACATTGCTAAATTTATTATTTATCTCTCATGGGATTCGACGCGTGATAGTGATAACAATAACTTAAATCATCGGAAATTGTATGACTTGAGAAGTTGGAATTAAATAAATCCCGAAAAAATATTTGGTAACATTTTCATAGTGTATTGACGCTACGGGGGGTAATTTGTTTATGTTGAGTTTTCCTTACTTCAAGCGATGACTTCGGTAATTTAAAAGTGTTCATCAAATCAGTTAATATTTCTTGCTCAGACGGATTAAGCAGAAACTTTTATTAATATGAGGAACTTATTTCGCAATTTATAATTGAGTTGCCGGATGGAACTAACTGTATAAACAAATCATTCTTCTGAAAATGTAAAAAGCTTTGAAAATTGTTTCCTTGGCAAAAAAAAAACTGGCACATAAATGAAATTTCCTTTCGATATTACGGCATATTAGGTGCGACAAAAAATGACGTTTCTACTTGAATGCCTTCAAAAATTTATGATTAATAATTGCCATTTTATTACATCCTGAAATGTTTTGTGTTTGTTTCTCTAAAAATGTTCACTAAGCAATCGCTTCGGGAAATTTTTAAATGCTAATTTTGTTAAGTACTTTATCTACATTATTTATATTATTTTAGCCTATTTTATTATAGAATATCATTTGATTTTCTATAATATTGCCGATCTAAAGTCTTACCGAATTGAATTGTCCCGAGTTTAATACGCAAGTAAAACTTAAATTTTTGAAGTTAGAGTTATCCCGAATCTCCAGAATTGTTAAACGAAATAACAAACTTCAAAGTAAATAATTAAAAATTCCCTAAATTACACTAGTGTTAAATAATACCAGTGTCGAGGGGCAGTTTCACGGCACTGATGCTGTAGTTGAAGGTGACGGGTTCGCTGAGTTCGAAGATTGCGATGTCGTTGACGTTGATGTGGGGGGAATAGTGTAGATGCCAGATGACTCTCTTGACGCGCGATACAACGTTGAACGTCTCGTTCTTGGTCTTTAAGTCGTGATCGCCTAAGCTAACCCGGAGTGCATCAATTCCTTTCTTGAATGACCTGCAACTGTCTCTTATACACATCTAGATGTGTATAAGAGACAGNAAATCATTTAAAACAAAAAAGTGTAATAAGGTAAAATTAGGTGTTTTAAATTAAAATCGAAAATACTTTGAAACGATTTCGCTTTGCGACGCATCGTGCTTGTTTCTGCACGGGTCATTGAAAAGAATTCTCTTCACTCTGAAAACTAATTTTCCTCACTTCGTAGGCTGAAAATTCGTTGTGGAACCGAAGAAAGCACGTGAAAACATAAATTGTTCATCAGGTGAATTATACGAGTTTATGTTTTACTATTTTGTAGCAATATGATATTATTAAAAGCAACGTTAGGATTCAAGTACATAGATACCGGGCATAACTACATAGTAGAGTTAATATCCAGTCCAATCATTATAACATGACTTATGGAAAATTAAATCAACGCATACGCACAGAGATAAAAGTCTCAAATTAAAATGAATTGTTGCGGCAATCTGGCTGTCGATTTGTTAATTTAAATTTTAAACCATTCAGTTGGAAAAATTTCAATTTTCAATAGGAAATTCGCGTTTTAATTAAAAAAACTGAACTTGCCTCGTTTGAAGCCAGAAACGGCAGGAGTGACATCCAGGGTGTCGGTGAAAATATTTTCTTCTTCATCTTCGTTTCCTTCAGAACCGTCAGGAAAATGACCGATTATCACCTGGAAATCAAAAGCTATTATTAAATATCAACGGAAATGTAATCACTCCTTGAAATTTATACAAAAGTTTAAGTCGAAAAAATATTTTCATGGACTAATTACAGAACTTAAATTGTCTGTAAAAGTTGGGAATTTTAATATTATTATTTAAAGCCGTGGTATCGACACAGGTTAAGTACGTGAGCTCCATAGTCATGGACTTCCTTCTCTTTAACTTCACTTCTTTTTGTTTGTTTGTTTGTCTGATACAAATCTTATAATCGATATTTAACACACTTCTACCAGTTCAATCGATCTGAAAATTTGCACACTTGCGTAAAATCGGAGACAACGAATGAATCAATTAACAGAATAAACAATTTTGCGAATTTTAAGTTTTTCCTAATATTGAAAAAAGTAAAAATTATTTTAATATTCGAAAATAGAAATAGAAATTCATTGTACATGTGTAACATCGGAGACACTGGATTCTACAATGTTCAAACATCAGGATGTTCGAGTTTGATTTAAAAAAAAATTGGAAAGCAAAGTTTGGAAATCAGTAAATAATTTTTTTTAGGAAAATTGCGTGAATGGATCTCTCTAATTGCGAGATATACACAGCAATGAAAAATATTTGAGCTGAGAAGCATCTAAGTTACAAAAGGAGGTGATCTATTGCGAATTCTAAGTACTCATTGGAAGCATTTATTTTCTGTTCAAATCCAAAATGCAGATGAAAAAATTAAATTTATGAGTACAAATTTATCGGTCTGAGAACATTGTTACACTCATTGCCCCCAGAATTTACTCACAATTCGCAAACTTATTTCAAATCTGTGAAAAAATTTCTCAACCAGCTACATAAAAACAAACAAAAAAGCTATGAACGTCTGTACTAAATTGAATGATATCATTGAAAAAAATGTATCCGTGGTGCAGGAAATCCTTAATACTCACGCCAGGAGCAGGCGTTGTAGTTCCTGAAGGATATTTGCCCCTCAGGAGCGTAGTTTGGACCTCTTGCGAGTCCATATAAACCCAAAAAATTACACTAAAAACACCAAAAAATCTACCCTAAAACTGCAAAACTAAAACCCCCACTCTCATCCCTACACTCACCTCCTTCATCGTCATCTTTCTTTCCCTCGTCTGCCCTCGGAGCGGTAGTAGTGGGGCCACCCTCTCCCTCATCGTCCCTGACGACGGGGTTAAAGGTCGTAGTCTCAGTCTCATTTGTTTTGCTGTCGTTTCTGAGTATGATTGTAGGTTTATCTACTGCAGGTTCAGGAGGAGGGTTGTACAAGACCGCGTCTTCGTTGCGCACGCCCGAGTAGGTGGGCGCTGAAGTACGAAAAAAAATCGTTAGTGGAACGGTTGAAAGTTTCATTATCATTTGATTGTCGGAATCGTGAATTGGTAAAGATTAAAAAATCAAAATGGCATGTTGTGCACTGATCTCTAATTACTTCCGCACTGAATTGAACTCACAAATATTCATCAATAATCTCTTACACAAATAAATAATAACAATGAATAACAACTACATTTATATATCAATGATATCCTCATCACTGAAATATATTACAAATTTTTCATCAAAAAATACGCTTCACCAATGATCTTCGGGATATTGGTACCCGCTCTGAATAACCCCTGATTTACATATATTTTAATGAATATCCTCAGCACTGGAAACAAATTATGCATTCTTAAATAATACACTTAATTTCCCTCACAAATGAACTTAGGTATATTGGCACAGGCCCTGAATAACCCCTGATTTACATATATTTTAATGGACACCCTCTGCAATGAAAACAAATTATATATTCTTTAAAAAATACAATTAATTTCCCTCACAATAAACTTAGGGATATTTGTGCCCGTCCTGAATAGCCACTGTGTTACATATATTTTAATGAATATCCTCAGCACTGGAAGCAAATTATACATTCTTTAAAAAATGCACTTAATTTCGCTCACAAATGAACTTAGGGATGGCGGCGCAGCCGAGCTGCGTGACAGTGATGGAGAACCTGTGCGTACTCTGCGCGACCAGCGAGACCGTCACCTTGCCGAGCTCCTTCACCAGGAACGTCGCTATGGCGCGCATGAAAAATAGGATAACGTAATTAGGGTCCCTGAAAAAAAATTATTTAATTGCGAAGAAAATGTTAAAGTTGGAACGTTGCTGTGAAGCTGGCGCGCATGATTAAAGTTTGAATGTTGCTGTGAAGCAAAAGGGCTAACTTTGGTGCCCCGAGAAAATATTCTTTAATAGAGAAGAAAATGTTTAATTTTGAATGCTGCTGTGAAGCTCGTAAAAGATAATGGAGCAAAGTTAGGTGTCCTTAGAAAAACTTCATCAATGGTTAAGGAAATGTTTTAATTGCATATTTAAGAGTTTCAGAGTTGAATGAAACGCAAGTAATAATAATCTTGATAATAAAAAAAACATAATTATGATAAAAACAACGTAAGTAAAACTATTATTATTAATAATATTTTATTATACGTATCTCTATATACTTGTGATAATTCGAAATTCCGAGACTATGATTAGCTGGCATTTTTAAACCCTATTCAAATTTATAAAAACTTGACCTGGCTGAACCTAACCCTAAAACTAAAATGTTTACTACCCTAACCTAACGAGGTTGGCGTTAAAAAGCATGTCGCATAGTTGCATATATCTTTTCGGTGTGGCACAACTGTATATAAAATAACCACCGAGAATATAGTGCGACGCAATTTTGCCTCACAATTACACCGCGTCGCGGAATTTCATCAAAAACATCGCAATATTTCCTAACTTATGCATATATCTATTAATATATATTATATATAAATCTATATAATATTAATATGATATTATATGTTGTATAAATTATGTAAAAGAAATTATATACATAATATTGGATAAATAATAAATTGTATGTATGAGTCTTTTCGTACTTTCCTCCCTAACGGATTATATGTATATGTTCGGTTCTTATCCTGAATATCCCTGAAACACTTCAATACGAAGCTCGTATATTTTTTAGTAAAAGAGACCTTAGCCGATATTCATTAATTTTCATAATTTCATAATATGTATCTTCATTTAATTATATGTATTTAAAGGTATGACCAACTTGAATATCCCGTCATGTTGCCACACACGGGCGTAGCTATGCCTTCTGTTGAGCCCAGCAGCGTGAGTGTGTCACGAATGCACACACCGTCCTCGTACTGCGCCAGCTCCAGCACATTCAGGTCCACTCTGTTACAAAGAGGCGTTGTAATGAATATGAATAACATTGTAAGAATAACATTGATAATATAATATCATAAGAATCATATTATAACATAACATCATTGGAATAACATTATAACTCAGCATCGTAAGAATAACATTATAACCATAACAATGCAGAAGGCATTCGTTCGATACGGAGAGAGTTTTTAGATTTGTTAATTTAAACAAAAACTTTTTTGCGATCAGATTGAATCTAAAGTAAAAATTGATGATGTAGTAACATTGAGCCAGGAAAAAAGACAGGTAATCTCGTATAGAGTGTAGCTCAACAAACAACAGTTAAATAAAATATATAAGGCAAAATTTTGGGAACTTGGTCTATCCGTATTAGTAGAATATAACGCTAATTAGTGAAAAGTAGGCAGTTTTGGGCGATGTTCATCAATGAAATGGGGGGGTGGCCTCAAATCTGGTGGGTGGCCTCATGAGCATGTCTATGAGCCTAGGAGCATACCGTAGTAAATAGTATTTAAATATATCATATTTTCTTAAATTTCGACATTTGCAAAAATAATCTGAAGAATAAATAAAGTAGATTGTTAAAGTTCTTTCATACGTCACCTGACCGCGCAGACCGCCCGTCCAAGTTCCACAGTGAGGGGACACAAGACGGCCTCTTCGTTGGGCTTCGGAAAAGACGGATTCTGGAACGTGACTGAATGAGCGCTCGTAGTCGCCCAGCACGTTTTGTCCACTGCAAGAACAGCATTTCAGTTTTTAAAGAAGGCTTTATTCGTCGCACGATTTTTCGTACAACGAATCGCATTAGTAAAGATTTTTTAGAGCTTAGAAAACTCGTGACGCGTGTGAGTGTTTCGCTTATCACGATTAACAGAGCGTGACTTGTTTCAAAAATTAACGACAATGGAAATTCAATGTCACGAAAGAGAGCTAAGAAAGTAGGTTGGAGGCTTATAAACTAGAGCTGCTTGAAGCACAATAACACCCGTCTGAATAAGGTGCATTAGATAAAGTGAAGGATTAAACCTTACTAGCTTTGATCGCTGGTGCGAAATCGCAATTTGGTCAATTTTGATGCAAAAACTTTGCAATTACAGAGAAATACGCGAGCAAATAAAAACACGAATATAAAGCGAATTTTTATACCGTGTTCCAACGTTTAATTGGAATGATTTGAAATTATTGGGAAATGAACGAGGCTTCTTTGACATCGGGACAGGTTATTAGTGGACCGAAGGTGTTTCCAATTATGTGGTCAATCTATTTGCTGGAAATTTAACCTAAATTTTTCTTATAATTGAATAAAAGTATGTTGAGGAGTCGAAAATAAAATTAATGGGATCTCATTGCCAAACAATTTTATGTAAAGCATTGGATTTAATCTTGAGCTTAGTTGTTCTTCATAAGTTGAGAGACTTATGTGTTACAAACGGCTTGTTACACATAATTAATGAATGGCATGCGGGTATAATATACGCATGAAATATTGTCTCTATAATCATATCTCTGCAAAGCCTCGACTACGATAATATTCTGAGAATTGAATGCTATAATCAGAGACACCGAATGAGTATAATAAGCAAAACGCTAGAATCGTGCACTCATTTCTCCCGTATTTGTCATCGCGCGACTCATCGGAAATGTTTTTTTATCTCACTCATACACTAATCTATCCCTTATTTGTTACCAGTAATTGCGAGTATCTTCATCTCACCCATGCAGCAGACTCGGTCGGAGCCACCGCAGTACCCAGCGAAGCGGCCGCCTTGAAGCTGACACTCGACGCCGAACAGACAAGCGCCCTGCGACCCGCCGGCGCTGCACAGCGGGTAAGACACAGCGTCCAGGCGGTTCTCCGTCAGCGGCCGGTCCATCATGTCTGACCGGGACAAAAATATTCCAGAGATATAATTTCGAAAAAAAAACGACTTTTAGCGAATTTTATTTCCGTGAGCCAAAATATTTTATTAAGACAACTTCTGCGAGTCAATTGAAGTGAAATTATTTCGGCGATTTCAAATTTTTCCGTGAGTCACGCGGTATTCCAACGGGAATATTCTCTTGAGTCCTAGTTTTTCAATGAAATTGTTTACGTGAGCAAGTTTTTGGTACTATTCAACTCATGTTCTTTATTATATCTGCAATATATATATGAGGGTATAAAATTGGTATTGGTAATACAAATGAATGAAAAACTTATTGGTGCTATATAGTGTTAAACATCTAAATTTATGTTCAAAACTGGAAACTTTGTTTCATGGAGGACAATAAATGCCTGCGGTGCTGTTCTTAATAACAACGATGCTGTTTAATAAGAATCTTATAAATCATATATTCCCAAGATCAGCTAAGCTTAATTTCAATATACAAGTTGAACGAGTTCAAGTAGGAACTATATATCGTGAAAAGTTAATTAATAATATATTCTAATGCCAAATGGAAATTTTCAAAGAATTAATTTTGTTCACTAGAGATGTTGACATATATTTCAATTCATGCATAATAAAAAATTAAAGCGCGCATGTTTTGGTGTGATTCCGATCGTATGCTCATTACTGAAGCTTTAATTTCACAGGTAACGAACATGAATTAGAAGACTGAAGCTCTAAGTATGCATGCAGTTAACGGTCATTAAGTTAAGGACTAAAGCACTAATTTAACAAGTAACGAACATGACTTATAGAGTTGGAGCACTAATTGTAATTAAGGAGCATAAACTTGAGGAATAAATTCTTCAGTGAAACCTTTTGCGTAAAACTAGCTATTACTGGTCACCGAGGTTCAACTAAACGAAGATTGCGCATGTCGGCACCTTTGTTCATTGCAAAAATAACTTTAAAAAAGGCACACTGTCATTAATGGAATATAGAACGATAATGGGCAGGATAAAATATGTAAAATAACGCTCATAGGTATAGATTTTTCGCGTTGGCATCTTCAGGAAGTAGTGATCCTTTTCCCATAAAGAAAGAAATGTAGAAAAATGTTTAATCAACGTAAATTTAAAGTTTAAACATTGATTCAATGTCAAATGTCTGGTGGGTTACATCTTCCAGCAAGTCAGTCACTGTGAAGGAATGAATACCACTTGTTTGAGGCGGGTTGGTTTTTTTATTTGGCCACTCGTGCAGTGGTGGAACGGTACTCGATCACGCCGTACAGTCGTGAACGTTGCACTCACGCTCACGCCAGTTGTTTATTTTTTCACTCTTACTCTGTGTATTCACTATGCGTTAACTGAATTATATAGATTAAGCGCCTGAAAATATTTTGAAAGAATATTATATGTAATTCTTATTCGATCGAAAATATTCAATGATCTTACTTCCCAAGTGAGTAAGTGAGATCATTAATTCTAAGCTGGAGTTAAGGATTCGGTAAAACAAAACGAAGATCCAATTCTGAAACATTACATTCTGCTTACATTTTTCACCATTTATGCAGGTTTGATTGAAGACCAGAGCATGCTTTTTATTAACAATCTTCTTATTGTTTTATTAATACGCAAAAAAATACTTCTCGCTGGTGTTAGGAGATCGAAAAGAAGGTTTCCAAAAGGCATCTTACTGGAATACGACGTTTCGAATATACATTATTCATTCTCATTTTCTTCGTCTATAGAACAGGAAATTCCAACGCTTCATTTTATATCGTGGAAGCATCCTCACCATTGGGCAAAAAATTTGTTCTGATTAAATCGGAAAAGATCGGCTCCGATTTGACGATCGGCCGTGCGTTATAACGATGTTTTCTTCCTAGAAGAACAACACGTAAATTCTGAGATTCCTCTGATAGAATTTCTTGGAATTCTATTAATTGAACGAAGCCTGAGAGGGTGACGAAATGATCATATTTTCCAGTCTGAATTCAAGTTTTATATAATAATGTCACCTATGGATACGATTTCATTCGATTAGGTTAATTTTTACGTTACTTTGCCAAACAATATAAGAGTTACAAAAATTTCAACATTTACTGATCATAACGTAATTTAAAAGCCATCAATCAATGGGACTTCAATATATCCAATGCAGAAAGTCTAGAAAGGCTGACTCAACGGTAATTTTACTCTACATTCAATTAACACGCTTGCGCTTTCATTTGACACGTTTAAACTTTTCACCACACGTTTTTTTAATGAAGCAACGACATCTTTTTCGTTGCATTTAACTATCCACGGAGTGTAAAATTAGCTCAGTTATTGATGCTGACTTACGTCTGGCCTTTCTCTCCCCTTTGCAGAGAACCTCGTTCGCCATCACAGCCCTGCAGAAATAAGAAAGTTAATGTCGTATATAAGCTTTATGACCTGCCGGTTTTTCTATGAGACGTTTCACATAATTTGTTTTGCATTTTTATTTTTGAGAAAAAGCATCAAGGAATAATTGATAATAAAAATATTAAAAAGAGACATGGAGCCGTTGAAGGTAATTAGGTTAAAGGTAATTGGCAGAAATAAGAAAGCTAATGTCGTATATAAGCTTTAAGACCTGCTGGTTTTTCCACATATAAAAATAAAAAATTTTCATCAATAACTTGACTCTACAGGGTGTCTCAAAAAATGTATTGTACCTTGCCATTAAATATGCGTAAAAATCTGAATTAGTTCATTCATACGTAAATCGCACGGCGAAATACTTCATTTCAAATAATGTATTAATTGACAAATGATTTTTTTTGCAGGGTGTCAATGAAATATGTATAAAATGGAATGAAACTCAAATACTTCAAGAAAAATCAAAACTAATTTTAAGAGATCTCATAACATGTTTGATAGAATTTACTTGACTTCTATGGTATTAGAAGTCAAGGTAATATGGTATTTACTTCTATGATAGAATTTACTTGACTTCTATGGTATTAGAAGTCAAGGTATTATGGTATTTACTTCTATGATAGAATTTACTTGACTTCTATGGTATTAGAAGTCAAGGTATTATGGTATTTACTTCTATGATAGAATTTACTTGACTTCTATGGTATTAGAAGTCAAGGTATTATGGTATTTACTTCTATGATAGAATTTACTTGACTTCTATGGTATTAGAAGTCAAGGTATTATGGTATTTACTTCTATGATAGAATTTACTTGACTTCTATGGTATTAGAAGTCAAGGTATTATGGTATTTACTTCTATGATAGAATTTACTTGACTTCTATGGTATTAGAAGTCAAGGTATTATGGTATTTACTTCTATGATAGAATTTACTTGACTTCTATGGTATTAGAAGTCAAGGTATTATGGTATTTACTTCTATGATAGAATTTACTTGACTTCTATGGTATTAGAAGTCAAGGTATTATGGTATTTACTTCTATGATAGAATTTACTTGACTTCTATGGTATTAGAAGTCAAGGTATTATGGTATTTACTTCTATGATAGAATTTACTTGACTTCTATGGTATTAGAAGTCAAGGTATTATGGTATTTACTTCTATGATAGAATTTACTTGACTTCTATGGTATTAGAAGTCAAGGTATTATGGTATTTACTTCTATGATAGAATTTACTTGACTTCTATGGTATTAGAAGTCAAGGTATTATGGTATTTACTTCTATGATAGAATTTACTTGACTTCTATGGTATTAGAAGTCAAGGTATTATGGTATTTACTTCTATGATAGAATTTACTTGACTTCTATGGTATTAGAAGTCAAGGTATTATGGTATTTACTTCTATGATAGAATTTACTTGACTTCTATGGTATTAGAAGTCAAGGTATTATGGTATTTACTTCTATGATAGAATTTACTTGACTTCTATGGTATTAGAAGTCAAGGTATTATGGTATTTACTTCTATGATAGAATTTNATATCAGTTTATCTTAGCCAGTACGTCGAGATCTGCGAGTGGCGGTGCAAGACTGAACTTTGAGCAGCAGTGCGACGCACTCGAGGAGCCCCCAAGTACGACAAATCTTGCCTTCTTCAAAGAGTCCCTCGCTCAGGAATCTCTGCTGAGAGTCCTGAAGGATCAAATATCCGCTAAACCGGTCCAGCAAGATGGCCTATAGGGCTCGTAAGGAGCATTGACATCACCGCGGTGCTTGTGCACGATGGCCAAGCCTCCGCATCTCTTGAGGTGACCGGCAGCCAAGCATGTGGCTTTTGTCGATAACCCCATATCGGAGACAACCAACCAGATTCGAATAACATTTACAGCAGCGACAAAGAGTTCATCTATTTTTTAAGTCACAATAATTCTAATTAGTAATCATTTGGGTATGCATTGCATTAACTACGGTCAAATTTTCCGTAAAAAAGGGTTAAAATATTATCACTAGTTTCCTTCAAATTGTTATGACTCAAGTGATTTTATTTATTTTCAGTTACGTTGAAAAAGTTATTAATGTTCTGCTGCGATTCAAGGTTCTAGGGCATGAATTTTCGCGGTTTGGTTTCAAGGGGAGCGTCTAGGGTAAAATTTATCTCGGCTATTTACAAACGGATCACTCTGAAACTTGGTACACATATGTAAAATAAAATTCTAAGACATTTTTGTTCGTGTAAATTTTTCGAAAAAAATGAAAGAAAACGTGAAATTCTTAGAAAACGTCCAAAAAAGGGGTACCGTAGAAATCTATCTCCTCCTAGGATTTTTAAGCTACAACATTGAGACACATATCATTCGATGCGTAAAGACCATATCTAAAACGCAAAGGTGGGAGCGACTGCATGCACACCTCCTCATACGACGCCAGGCGGGTAACTAAGGTGCACTTCAAGCAGACACTCTATTTAAAGTGCTCGCAGCGAATTTCCTCCCATTCTATTTGTTAAAGAACTACCCCACCCACCTCCCTTTCATGATCTGTCGTGAACGCATAAATCAACGTACAGAGATGGTTTTGGTGCCGTTGGATAGATCAGAATGTCAGCTTTAAGATGAGACTAAAAACCGGAAAAGCCGAAATCCAAAATTTTACCCTAGACGCTCCCCTTTTAAAGAAGTGAAGAAATTTATGAAAGCCTTCACGAACTTAATTTCAAAAAGTATGAAAATACATGAACAAATACTTTATTGTCAAAAATATTGTATTACAATATTTTTGTAAATATTATCATGATGCCCAATATAAAAGAACTTTCTTATCTGACTTATCTACATTATATTGATGCCCAATATTAACGTACCATCTTAGCTGCCCTATTTTTATTATCTTGATGCCAATATTAACGTCCCATCTTAGCTGACATATCTATATTATCTTGATGTCCAGTGTTAACGTACCATTTTATCTGTCATATCTATACGATCATGATGCTCAATAATAATGAACTATCATATTTCAATAATCTATATTATCTCGATGCCCAATTTAGTAACGTACAATCATATCTGATTAATCAATTTAACTTACTCTCCCATAATAACAAACTAGATGAAACCCTCCCTAGTACCCAGCAAGTGCATAAAGAGCCGTAATAAGCAGGCGCAAGGGTGTGCAATTCAACTCATCCGCGTCCAGTCAATGCTGCCAGATTTGGGCACTTTACTAGAAATTTAAAAGCGAAGAAACCTCCACAAAAATTTCACGAAAACATTTTTTCTGCAAACGTTTTCTGTAAATATATCATAAATTTTCTTTTAATGCTCTTTGCTTTTAAATTTCTATTGAATTTTTGATTCTTGCAAACGAGTGACATTAATGCTTGGGCACTTAGAATGATCCGTCACAGACACAGGTCCTTGCAAAACAAAGGGTCAGCAAGAATCAGGCTAGGCACATATGACAAATATTCAAAGCCCTAATTTTTTTTTGAAAATTGTACTGGTTATACAGTCGGAAGATAGTTAATACAATTATTTGTAAGGCCGAGGAGTGAATCGCGGAAACTATGGCTGGGACGCGGCATGGAATCAGCACCAAGCAGGGATAATTGAGTATGAATTGCGCTTTTGTAGTTCTGACGCAAATAATTTGTGCTTGCCTTCCTCTTAACATATTAAGAATTCCTGTACAAAATTCTGAAATTCAGATGATACGTCACTCAACGAAAGAAATTTACAATATACATGATTTTCGCTTTAGTTCGACGTGTTCGTACCGGGAAGTTCCAAATGAGCCTTAATTAATGCGATTACAATTTATATCACACTACATTAGTTAGACAACATGATTATCCGTACCCTTACTTATTTAAATTTTTGAAATTCAATTAGATATCCCTGATCTAGTACAAAGTATTTCGTTAACAGAAGCTAGACCGGTATGGCGCTGAGCGACGCCATGTTACTATCAAGCCAGGGGCGGTAGTAGGTGAGTCGCGTGAACACCGCGGGGAGGCCGACGTTCGTGCAGAGCGGGAACCCGAAACTCACCACACCCACCTGAGTGCAGGAGTTGAAGTTGCATGCCACTAAAGGTCCTCCCGAATCTCCCTGTGGAAGTAAGTAATTAATTAATTGAATTCCGTCAAACCAGGCATAGGAAGAAATTCGTTTTTTACACTACCGTTCCAGAACTTCTCCAAAACATACAACTCTACACTTTAGTTATGTGCCGTCACTGGTCTCGAAATTTTCTTGTGATTTCTTGCAACTTAGGAAACGAGTGAAGGCTTTAATCCTGGGACCGCATCGCTTGAAGGGTGCACATCATCTATGAAGAGGTTTACTAAGCAGATAACTAACTTATTTCAAAGTTCTCTATTTACGACTCAGCAAAATTCTAAATCTNGATATTACGGCATATTAGGTGCGACAAAAAATGACGTTTCTGCTTGAATGTCTTCAAAAATTTACGATTAACTGGCATATTATTAAATTCGGAAATTGTAATAACTTGATCGGGTTCCTCACTAAGTCAGTTTAACAAGAGTTTTCGTCGGAGTATTAATGAAGACTTGTTCCCACAAGCATTTATTCAAATACACAGTTTATTTAAAGCAGTGATGAATAATAGGTTGAAATTAACATATGGCACACATCTGAATAGGCAGGAGGCTAACTAACCCGTAGCACACACTACCACCTTCGAGGTAACCTTCGGTCTTGACACTACATTTTGGAAAACCCGCTATTTTGTTAGTAATAGTCCTTACAGAAATGTTTTGTTTTTGTTTCTCTAAAAATGTTCACTAAACCATCGCTTTGGGGAATTTTTAAGTGTTAATTTTGTTAAGTACATTATCAACATTATTCATATTAATTTTGTTGATCTAAAGTCTTACCGAATTGAATTGTCCCGCGTTTGATAAGTCAAACTTCAATTTTTGAAGTTTGAGTTAGCCAGAATCTTCAAAATTGGTAAACGATGGATGCTATAACAGACTTCAACATGTTAATGTTAATGTCAATGTTAATGTTAACATATTAATGTCAAGTCAATGTTAATGTTAATGTTAATGTTAATTTTAATGTTAATGTTAATATTAGCATGTTAAAGTAAAATAATGAAAAGTTCCCTAAATTACACTAGTGTTAAATATTACCAGTGTCGAGGGGCAGTTTCACGGCACTGATGCTGTAGTTGAAGGTGACAGGCTCGCTGAGTTCGAAGATTGCGATGTCGTTGACGTTGATGTGTGGGGAATAGTGTAGATGCCAGATGACTCTCTTGACGCGCGATACAACGTTGAACGTCTCGTTCTTGGTCTTTAAGTCGTGATCGCCTAAGCTAACACATGCATAATAAAAAATTAAAGCGCGCATGTTTTGGTGTGATTCCGATCGTATGCTCATTACTGAAGCTTTAATTTCACAGGTAACGAACATGAATTAGAAGACTGAAGCTCTAAGTATGCATGCAGTTAACGGTCATTAAGTTAAGGACTAAAGCACTAATTTAACAAGTAACGAACATGACTTATAGAGTTGGAGCACTAATTGTAATTAAGGAGCATAAACTTGAGGAATAAATTCTTCAGTGAAACCTTTTGCGTAAAACTAGCTATTACTGGTCACCGAGGTTCAACTAAACGAAGATTGCGCATGTCGGCACCTTTGTTCATTGCAAAAATAACTTTAAAAAAGGCACACTGTCATTAATGGAATATAGAACGATAATGGGCAGGATAAAATATGTAAAATAACGCTCATAGGTATAGATTTTTCGCGTTGGCATCTTCAGGAAGTAGTGATCCTTTTCCCATAAAGAAAGAAATGTAGAAAAATGTTTAATCAACGTAAATTTAAAGTTTAAACATTGATTCAATGTCAAATGTCTGGTGGGTTACATCTTCCAGCAAGTCAGTCACTGTGAAGGAATGAATACCACTTGTTTGAGGCGGGTTGGTTTTTTTATTTGGCCACTCGTGCAGTGGTGGAACGGTACTCGATCACGCCGTACAGTCGTGAACGTTGCACTCACGCTCACGCCAGTTGTTTATTTTTTCACTCTTACTCTGTGTATTCACTATGCGTTAACTGAATTATATAGATTAAGCGCCTGAAAATATTTTGAAAGAATATTATATGTAATTCTTATTCGATCGAAAATATTCAATGATCTTACTTCCCAAGTGAGTAAGTGAGATCATTAATTCTAAGCTGGAGTTAAGGATTCGGTAAAACAAAACGAAGATCCAATTCTGAAACATTACATTCTGCTTACATTTTTCACCATTTATGCAGGTTTGATTGAAGACCAGAGCATGCTTTTTCTCAACAATTTTCCTATCTTTTTTTCAATAAGCCAAAAAAACTTCTCGCTAGTGTTAGGAGATCGGACAGCAGGTTTCCAAAAGAATCCACCCAAAAGAATCGGTTGTAATCCATCTTACTGGATTACAACGTTTCGAATATTCAATATTCATTCTCATTTTCTTCGTCTATAGAACAGGAAATTCCAACGCTTCATTTTATATCCTGGAAGCATCCTTACCATTGGGCAACAAATTTGTTCTGATAAAATCTGAAAAGATCGGCACCGATTTGACGATCGGTCGTGCGGTTATAACGATGTTTTCTTCCTAGAAGAACAACACGTAAATTGTGAGATTTCTCAGATACAATTTCTTGGAATTCTATTAATTGAACGACGCCTAAGAAGGTGACGAAATGATCATATTTTTCAGTCTGAATTCGAGTTTTATTAAATAATAATGTCACCAATGGATACGATTTCATTCGATAAGGTTAATTTTTACGTTACTTTGCCAAAAAATGTAGGAGTTACAAAAATTTCAACATTTACTGGTCATAACGTTAGTAAAAAGCCATCAATCAATAGGACTTCAATATATTCAATGCAGAAAGTCTAGAACGGCGGAATCAACCGCCATTTTACTCTACATTTAATTGACACCCATCGTTTTACCGATTCACCACATGCTTTTTAATGAAGCAGCAATTTCTTTTTCGTTGCATTTAACTAACCACGGGGTGCAAAATTAGCTCAGTTATTGATGCTGACTTACGTCTGGCCTTTCTCTCTCCTTTGCAGAGACCCTCTTTCGCCATCACAGCCCTGCACAAATAAGAAAGTTAATGTCGTTTATAAGCTTTAATACCTGCCGGTTATTTTATGAGAAGTTTCATATAATTTGTTTCGTATTTTTATTTTTGAGAAAAAGCATCACGGAATAATTGATAATAAAAATATAAAAAAGAGACATGAAGCCGTTAGAGGTAATTATGTTAAAGGTAATTGGCAGAAATAAAAAAGTTAATGTCGTTTATAAGCTTTAATACCTGCCGGTTATTCTGTCAGGCCTTCTAATTGTGTTTTGCATTTTATTTTTGAGAATAAGCATCACGGAATAATTGATAATAAAAAGATAAAAATGATACATGAAGCCGTTAAAGGTAATTAAGGTCATTGAAAAGAACTTATTCTACATCATTAACAAATTATAAATGAAATATTAACTTAAAACTAGGATTTTATTATGAGAGGCAGTTTGAAGTTAATCGGTGAAAGTCTTAGCATTATATTGCTTAGCAGCGATCTCCTCCAGCAGACCAAATGAGCTCTTTGAGGTCATCTTGAAAAATTAAACATTGTAGGAATGCTAGATTATTTAAAAAATTATTATTAATAACATGACTCTATTGTACCTTTTAGCTAGCGAACCATTAATATGCGTAAATCCTACCGCTTAATACTTACATTTTCGATAATGTATCAAATAACAAAATCATATTTTTTAACAGACTGTCTTTGAAATATGCATAAAATGGAATGGAACTCAAATACTTCATGAAAAATCAAACTAATTTTAAAAGATCTCATAACATGTTTGATAGAATTTACTTGACTTCTATGGTATTAGAAGTCAAGGTATTATATGAAATTCACTTCTATGATAGAATTTACTTGACTTCTACGGTATTTCTACTCTCCCCATACTTCGTAACAGAACTGCATTGACAAAAGGTTCACCGACTGTTAACCTGGCCGGGGTAGCGACGAGGCCGAAGCTCAAAACTGGTTTTCAGAAATATAATTGATGCGTTCGAACAACTAATAACACATATTAAGAACGGCGCGCTACCTGAACCATTCCTTCGTAGAATTAGATATGGAACTCTTCATAAAATGTCTTGAAATCACTTTTTAGTGTTTGATTCAAAGTAAAAAAGATAAAGTAGTGCCAATGCACCGCATGCAAATGATGATAACCCTGATGATGATCGTTCAGATTTGTTTGAAACAATTTAGCGCGAGTGAATGATGTCTAGGAATTTTTTATCTACATCTTAACTTGCAGAAATTAATACAGAGTATTATGTGGATTCTAATAGTTTGCCTGAAACGCATTTATTCTCTCGTGAAAATGAAAATTATTAACGTATATCACGTACCTTGCGAGAGAAAACCATAAATTGATTTATGCGGTGTATGTAGCTGATCAAATATGTAGCTGAAACTGGGACACATAATTACCGCTAAAAAAATTGTATAAAATGTTTAGTTATTTAAGTCCACAAATTATTTATATTGTGCTCTTTACTAAAAAAATATGTGATCATGAGCACATATGTAAGACAAATCCCAGATCCATGATTAATTCTACTGCACCACCCGAGTAACTACTACATTATGCGTGTAACTCTTGTCACAGGGAAAATCTGCGGAGCAAAGATTACATAAAAAAAGCCGGAAGAGGATCAAATTGCGTAATATTTGACGCATTTGAAGCGAAGATTCTAAGCGTGGCTATTAATTTTTATGTAGATAAGAAATTCCCAAGCAGTTTGCTGTTATAAATAAAGCAATGCATGCAAATAAAAATTTCTGTTCAGTGTCCGTTTCCACTGCTAATCAAAACGGATGGATTTAGTATTCAAAATATAAATTTTGTTTAAAAGAGGTTTTCGGTGTTAATGATCAGATATTATTTTAATGAATTAATTATTCAAAGTTAATTAATTACTTGCTTTAATTGATAAAAATTAATTAAATTAGTCAATTTTAAATTGGTTATAAAGGCATATTCATTTTATTATTGAAGCGTTATATTATGATATCTAGATCACATGAATCACTTTTCATTTTAATAATTTCATTACATTTCATTTTAATATTTCAATTCTAGTGTAAAGAGAAAGTAGTTAAAAAATCTTTAACTCACATGATGGCGACGATGAACAATCTTGGCTGCATGATGATGCTTTTGAAGATCCACTTCCTCTATTTGTCAGATAATTTTAAACTTTTGACTACAGCACAGAGGTTAAAGTAAAAATCGTTTACCAGAAAATGCACATATTCAAATCAATTATTCGCCATACGCACAGTGTTCTGTAAAAAATAGAATGCTGTCCGACAGAGCAACGAATTTAGTTGGTTTGAGGCCTTTTTATTTATAATAGACACATTAAAAGGCACTGCGTGTACGCAGTTCATCCTTCAATCAGTAAAACTGATAATGCAGAACTGCTAATCATCAACTTCCAGCAATTTTCCGATAGTAGTAGTCTTTTTATCAAGAGAACATTTTTTGAGCTTTTTTTAAGTCAGCTACTATACCCTAAAATTTTTCCACTATTGAAAGACGTACACGTAATGCAGTGAAGAGCAGTTCCCAAACTGGATTTGATTTATCCCTATGGGATAATGCATTGATTTTAGGCAGCTAATTGTATGAACAAAATATATTTAGGATTTAATTTAACCAATTTCATCAATTACGCAGCCATTTTCGGCTAGATAGCGTGCGCGTTGCGGCTGTTAAATTTTGAAACGCTGAATATTGAATATATTGAATTCGTCACCCGAGCAGTGCAGAGGCGACATCCGAAGCGATATTAAATCCGTAGAACATGGTGGGGTTCATCCGTCCTTGGCCCTGACTGCAACCAGCGTAAGTCTCATCGGCCCGTTGGCCGTGAGTTCCGTAAGACATGGTGGAGCTCGGCCGTCCTTGGCCCTGACTGCAACCAGCGTAAGTCTCATCGGCCCGTTGGCCGTGAGTTCCGTAAGACATGGNTACTCCTTCAGGTACGGTGACGTCTTCTTTGTCGTGAGGCTGTAGCGGCCCCAGCCCGTCACCGTGGCATTGACTTCGTGAAACTCGTCCTCTGAGGAAGCATGTGTACAATAAAACATACAATACACGTTATGCGTTAAAATTTTATAAAAATATAAACTAATTATGGAAATTAATCATTTTACGTTATTATGTGATACACTAACAATATTTAAAGGCGTGCGCGACCCTGCATTATAAGGGCCGCCTAGGACTCGGGGAGCACGTAAATCAGCTTCTCTATGTCCGTTTCGGCTCAGGGTTCTAAGGGCAGTCTCTGGGTAGCTGCATGGTTATCTCGGTATGACTTGGCTCGGCCAACCCTTGTCATACTCTCAAGCGACTATAAAGTCGAAAAGGAGATTCTGATCAGAAACTGAATTCGATCGGGTGGCCAAACAGACCCAGAATAACTTTGCGCCGAAGGTAGTGACTATTCGGCCGAAGCCTAGGTGGTCTCCGAATTTTGTTAGGGATATAAGAGTATTCAGGATTTTCGAGTGCCTCTACATTGCTAAATTTATTACTTACTTATTATTTAAATTTATTAAACATTAATAAATTTAACACATTAACTTTATAACATTATCTTAAATCAGCAGAAATTGGATGACTTTAGAAGTTGGAATGAAATAAATCCCGAAAATATCTTTGTTAACTTAAAATCTTCAGTAATTTAAAAGTGTTTTAATAAAATCAGTTAATATTTCTTTCTCAGACGGATTAAGAAGAAACTTTTATTAATATGAGGAACTCGTTTTGCCCTTTATAATTGAGTTGTCGGATGGAACTAACTGAATGTACAAATCGTTCTCCTGAAAATCTAAAATGGAGTTGAAAATAGTTTTCGTGGCAAAAATAACAGCTGGCACATAAATGAAATTACCTTTTGATATTACGGCAAATTAGGTGCGACAAAAAATGACGTTTCTGCTTGAATGTCTTCAAAAATTTACGATTAACTGGCATATTATTAAATTCGGAAATTGTAATAACTTGATCGGGTTCCTCACTAAGTCAGTTTAACAAGAGTTTTCGTCGGAGTATTAATGAAGACTTGTTCCCACAAGCATTTATTCAAATACACAGTTTATTTACAGCAGTGATGAATAATAGGTTGAAATTAACATATGGCACACATCTGAATAGGCAGGAGGCTAACTAACCCGTAGCACACACTACCACCTTCGAGGTAACCTTCGGTCTTGACACTACATTTTGGAAAACCCGCTATTTTGTTAGTAATAGTCCTTACAGAAATGTTTTGTTTTTGTTTCTCTAAAAATGTTCACTAAACCATCGCTTTGGGGAATTTTTAAGNTGCACAACACAGCCACTGCTTCACAGCGCCGGAGCCCAACTGGCCGGAGTGCAACAGGCCCTACCGCAACAGGCGGCGCATGTTAGGTTAGGTTAGGTTAAGTTACGTTAGGAGTAGCTGTTGCGGTAGGGCCTGTTGCGCTCCGGCCAGTATGCGCTGCGGCCTGTGACTGAACGGCGCTGTTGTGGTGGGCGCTTTGTGTCAAAAGCCGTGAAGATGCCCGGCTGCATCACGCTCGGGAAGGTATATGAATCGCACTGTGGACTTGGGCTATGCTGACCTCTAGCTATCCACCCATTTTGTAAATAGCATGAGTAATGTGGTGTCGGTTTTTATTTATTTGCATAGTCCAGCCAGTCGCCGATTATAGGCCGCAGAATTTTAACAGCTTGCTAAGTGTAGATATGCACAATTTATTATCAAAAGTAGCAAAGAAAAACCTCTGTTGCTCAGCTCATGCAAATACTGGGAAATTATTCATATTTTCTTCTTCCAAAATTTTCATTCAAAGCCTAAGTGCAAATCTCGATTGCCTACACTTTCGCAAGCAATGCAAAATACGGAGCCATATAATAATCACGAAGCATATATTTGTATATCTAATTGAATGCACACTGAATATCCCTTCACGTAAACACATCTTCACCGAAACTATAAATTAGCAAAAATTCAGCTCGGTAATCAATTTTCCCTCGAGGTTGTGCGTAGGGGTGACTTACCCAAAGACGCAATGGGC